AAAGTGATAGAAAAGAGTGAAGGATAAAAGGATAAACAGAGTAGTAGTAAAGATTAGAGGACAAGATGGACTAAAAGTTTGAACTTTTAGTTTGAATGAGGCAATACCACACAAAGATGACTTGCAATTATCTGATTGACTACCCCATCAATAATAAAGTGTTCACCCACACAAAGAAATCTATGAAAAAAACTTAACAATCTAACATTTTTCTTTGTTTGGTGATATTCACATAAGCTACAGTTGATTAGCATCTCAAAATGTTATGACAATTTGTTTTGGCATAAGTATTTGTAACCAATTTCAATTCAATTAAGTAATGTCTATTTGTTTGACAAAAACATGCTTCAGGGAAACTAAATTTCTTGTTTAGGTTGTAGTGAGTTTAGCATAACTCAAGATATTTTCATATCGTAATAACAAAATCATAATTGCATATCCTAATTAATCAAGCTGAATTAATATCCCATCTAGTAAGTTAGAGATGAGTTTATAAAATTATTTAATGTATGAATAAAAAGAATAACTTAATCATCTTAAAATTCAATTAGCCGAATTAGTTGTATTAATCTATTATTTAATAACTCTAAGGCAAATTAAAATCAATTTTTATCCCACATAGTAATTAAAGAATAACTAGCCTAATTAATCAAATTGATTTAACATCGTACACGTTAATTGAAAATACTTAATCAGACTAGTTGATGTTTCATTGATATATAAGTAATTAGCATATTTCAATATCCTAAAATAATAATTAATAATCATGCTATTAACAATTGATTATCCAGATTGATCTATTAATTTAAATATGATTAAATATGAAAATACATAATCCTAATTTTAAACTGTCTTATTAATCTGAAGTAACTTTAACTCATTAGACTATTTATAGTCAATTGATTATTTAGCGTAAATAATCGACGGTCAATTGACTTGTATCCTAATTAATTTTACTAAGATCAACCTATGGCATTAGAATGATATATTGCCAAATTTACCTTATTAGGTAAATCCATAATTTAACCTAGTTATTATAATTTGTCTTAATATTTCCTAACAACTGTAACTCATTATATTTAATACTCATTTGATTATTTAGCATAAATAACTGATCGTTAAATGACTTATTAGTCTAACATATTTTACTAAACCAACCTATGGCATTAGAATGATGTGGTGTCATAATCATTCTACCAAGCTCTAATTAGCGAAAACAATCTCGTCTTGGTTATTGCTAAAAAAACTTTATACCATCGCAATAATATTACCGTGTCCAAAGGAAAAAAAATAAAGGTAACTTCCAAGCCAACACAATAAGAATTCTCCTCATTTCACAACTTAGAGATCCTGAGTTCCAAACCAGAACCAACTTCCAACCATCACATGTCAAACAAACACTTTACTAAAAATAGAAATCTACTTCCGAATATTTACAACAAATTGGCCTTCATAGTGGTTGCATCTCTTGTACTTTTGTCTGTTTATTAGAAGAAGGCTCGCATTACGTTTCATGATAAAAGAGTTAGTATAACATGTCTATTAGAATTTAGAACTTTTTTACAGAATATCACCAAGCAATATTTACTGCAGAATAAGAATTTTATCATCAAAATTAATTGAAATTTTTTCGAATTTTAGGAATATTTATTACTATCTTCTACTTTAATATTTTATGTATTTAGAATATAAAATTAGTTTTATGTTATAATTCTTGTTTTTTTCTTTTATCATGGGGAGTTATGGCGTTTACGTCTTTCCTATTGTGATTGTCATCCACCTCTATTTATCTTTTAATCGTTTTGTAAGAAATTCAAGAGGAATAATAATTTTTCCTTCTCTAAAAATCACATGCTCTCAAAGCCACCGAAAGTGCCCTAACCTGTGTCAAGGTTGAAGCCGCTTACCCCGTTCGTTATGCTTCGTCTTAGAGTATGAGAGCTTGCGTTCGAAGCATGTCGATCCTGCATCATCTGTGTGTTCTGTTGTTGCGAGTGGTTTGCCTTGCTCCAATTCTATCGTTATCAGTAAAAATGCAAGGATCCACATGTGTGAAACTTCTTCGGCTGCTCTAGAACTGCGTTGTAGCTTCTTTCGACGCTTTATTGTATCTCCTTTGAAGACACTGCCTAGATCTGGGTTTTTCCATCTCGACAGTAAAGTTGAACTTGTGCAAGGAAGTAAACAAATAGCGACATCTAGGAGCTTCATGCCATTCTTCATTGAAAATAGGGATCGAGATTGCATCATAAGGAGTTATGTGCCACTTACGCAGGAAAGTGAACACATTCCAGCATACAGACGTTCCACACCCTTCTTGCTCAGAAACAGAGATCGGGATCGTAGCGTAAAGGAGTTCCGCAAGCTTGTGCGATCGGGATGGCAGTGACTTTCAGATTCCAAGGATGTCTTCCAAATCAGCAATGATAACTGGAGTTCCAAAAAACTCTGTCACATCAACAGGTTCCAGTCATTCTAAAACTACATCTCCTTATCCCACATCCGTATCAACTTAGTTTTATCCCCATAGCTTACCATCGTATCTCACAATGATAAAACTTAACAAGCACAACTACCTTGAGTGGGCTCAATCCATAAAATTGGATATTGACAAGAGAGGAAAAATTAAGTATTTAACTGATAAATTTCAAAACTACTACTGGTGATCTGAATTAGAAAAAATGACAATCCAAAAATTCTTTGAGTATGATATAGCTCATCAAATCCATGGAACCTACCAAAGGAAAGCCACATCTACTCCTTCCCAAA